AGTCCAAGTAGCATAGATGTAGGAAGTTCAAGTAGTATAGATTGTGCGAGAGAATCACGCATCGGTTGGACTACCATTAAACCCTCTTCGGATGCGAGCGGATTGATGGTGAAGTCAAAGTTGAAGAATGGTAACTGAAAAAAAAAGATAATTTCAGGTTTCGCTGAAAGGATCAGCTCGCGAAAATCTAGCTTATTTCGTGTTTCAGGACCATCATCACAGTTCTGCAATGGTGCATAGCTTGACGAGGGAAGTGTTTGCAGCGTGTACGGTAAATGATCGAGAAAGTGAGCAGCGTATTATTCATGAGATGCCATACCGTACTTTACCCCTCCTTTCAGGTATTTCGTCCATTTCGAAACTCCTTGCGGCTACATAGATGTTTGTGCCAATTTTCCGATAGAGTCGACAGACAAGGAATTCACGGCCTTTCACAAACATGATATCGCGTGTTGCGTACTGAAACAACTTGCAGTTCTCAAAGGCAGCTGTAAAATGATTTTATATTCAGGTAATTTTGGAATCATTCAAAATTGTGCCATTTAGTAAAACTATTGAGGCGGTCTGGACAACCGACCTGGAAGTGCCAGTTTGCATATTTTGCTGAAATGCTACCTCAGGAGGTTTGCGATCGTGTCACTCAGTGATGCATCTGAAGAAACGATACCTTGAGCACATCGCAGTGCGATGTCAAGCACTCTATCCTTTCCATGTAAGCAAAATTAGGGTTCCATTGCGGCGTCGTTGTGATGTCGTACCAATGTTCGTCAAATAAGTCTTGCAGCATAATGTTGTAAATTATCTGAACAAATGCAACACTACAGCGCTTTTGTGTAAGGCAGAGCAATGAGATACAGTGATCGGTAGGACAGCGAAAGCCTAATACGTTCGTAGACTCTGCCAATAATCACTGAGTGTCCCCACCTCATTTCATTGGTCTTTTCGTGCACGAATAGAATAGCCACTGTGCGATTATACTATGAAATAAGCATTTTTAGTGCGCCAGTGTCTTTCACTGTTTTATATCTGTTGCAAAGCGAGAAGAACAAAGTGGTTTTATTTTTGTTTTTTTTTTCCGTCAACCAAATATCGCATTTCATGTCAACTGATGAAACATGCAGTGAATCTGCTGCTTCTCGTTTTGCAGCGCTGCTATAATGAGCAAAAACGCATACTTGCCGAGAGGTTGTTCGTATGTGTGTGTGCGTTCAGAATCGAGTGAACTTTCTCAACCGGGAAGGCTA